GCTTCCCCCACGCTGAGCCGGTCCACGGTCCTTGTGAGAGGAGTTTGCCTCTCACTCCTGGCTGAGCAAATCCCGTTGTGCCCTCACAAGGAGTGTTTTAGTGGTCATGAACCATTTTCTGTTAACAAGCGACTCCGGGCACTGCCTTCGGCTGCCTGCAGAGCATCCTCCTCCCGCGGCCAGCCTGGGGAGCGGTCCCTGCCACGTCCCCTCTGTGAACCACCGCTGTCACTGTGAGCAGCTGCAAAGGATCGGGTCGTGGTCAGGATAAACCCTGTCTGTGTCACACGTGCTAGTCAGAATTAAACTCCGAGATCTTGCACAATTAGCTGTGATTCTGTTAACGACGTTAAGCACGATTTCCTTAGGCTGTGGTGTGTCAGCACCCGCGGTGGTCCCAGCCCTCGGCTAAGCCAGGAGCTGCGTGTGATAATGAACTCAGGGTAATGTTTCCAAAATGCGCTGAGTGATGTATGGACAAGGGTTTATGCTGGTTTTCAGCAAGATTTTCTCTCAGTCACAGTATAGTGGATGCTCCCGCTTTGCCACAGCACTTAGAGTAGCTGGGAAACCCTTCCTACAGCGCCCGGCCCTGGACCAGTAGGTGGTTGTTTCTGGTTTATGTGGAAAGCAGATGTGATGTAGTGTGGGCAAATTTGGTCATATTTAAATATTTCTAGAGAAAAACAAATATTAAGCCTAGAGAATAAACAGTTACAGCAAAGACAGGCTGAATTTCCTTTGGTCGCTCTCCCCAACGACGCACGGGGACCGTGCCATAGCTGTTTGCAACGCTGCGATCTGTTATGGAGCTGCCCCGGAGCCCGGGCGCTGCTGGGGCGATTCCCTCTGCCAGTACACGGAGCAGCTTTGCACTGGCACAGTCTTTCCAGCGTGGCTGCGATACGATAGGCAGTAATTGGTTTTATAACAAGTCATTATTTTACTTTGCTGCTTTACTGCCATGTTCACATTTCCCTTGGAGTGTTGAGAAAGCAGCAAGCGGGTGGATGAGAGGAGCCGAGGGAACAGAAACGCCTGTCTCGGTGCACGCGGGAGCATCAGCCCGAGCCCAGCACAAGCCCCGTGCCGGGAAGGGAACCCTGCATTTACACCGCAGCAGCGGAGGAAGCCGAGGGCAGGCAGGGGAGCATCCGCCGTCCCATCAGGCCCAGTGACATTCACCCACTGGGCATCTCTTCTTTTCCAGTACTCCCCGCTGCTGAAGAAACTCTACTGTCAGATTGCAAAAACATGCCCCATCCAGATCAAGGTGTCCACCCCCCCGCCCCCGGGCACCATCATCCGGGCCATGCCCGTCTACAAGAAGGCAGAGCACGTCACCGAAGTGGTGAAACGCTGCCCCAACCACGAGCTCGGCCGCGACTTCAATGACGGTGAGTGCCACTCTCCCCGCTCTGCCGGGGGCCGCCCCGTCAGCTGGGGAACCGCGCGCCCGCCCTGCGCTGCAGCCCTTGCGTGCACGGGCTGCAGCCCTTGCGTGCACGGGACGAGCATCCCGGAGAGCCGCCTCCTCTAACGCGGAGGTTTGCCTTGCAGGCCAGTCAGCCCCAGCCAGCCACCTCATCCGGGTGGAAGGCAACAACCTCTCCCAGTACGTGGACGACCCCGTGACGGGAAGGCAGAGCGTGATGGTGCCCTACGAGCCCCCGCAGG